AGGATCCAGAAAACACTGACAGTCTTCTTCTGGGGCCTGTTCCAACGTGATAGAGCCCAGTCCTGGCCCCAGACCAGACAGGGGTGGTCAAAAGGCAATCCCTCCCAGGTCTGATCTCTACCATCTCTGCAGGGTATCCATAACTTAAGGCAGACCCTGGGCCCGGGATTTCAGAGTCTGAGTCTGAGAGGCCAGACTGGGTCCTGCTATGACACTCCAGCACGTTCATCCTTCCCCAAGAGCCACCGACAACCATGAGGCTTCAGCGCCACAAGGCCCGTGGAACAGGTCCTGGCCAGGTCTGCCCCAAACTCAGCCAAGCCATTGCTCTGAAACCCAGAGAAAACGCCTTCTCCCTACATCCCAGGCTCTTGGCCTGTGAAATGAACGTGTTTTCAAAGTATGGTTCAAGGAACCCGAGGATTTCCATGGAAACTGCATACCACACTCAGGATGGTGTTACTGCTAGACGGGGTGAGAGGACATGGCCCTGTGGGCTAGCAGTGACAATAGAAGGATATACTTCTGGAAACAAAAGGAAAAAGCAAAGAGGATTCGGTAATAGTTACAAATTCTGCATGAGGGAAATGTGGACACTTATTATAATATGGTTTGCACTTTTCTTACATCTCCCAGTGAAAGCGGGAACAGGTCTCGACCTAGCAGGGAGTAGGGCAATAACCTCTCACCCTAACACATGCATGTGTACATACTGATACTTAAAAGTTCTTTATTTTATTTTATTTTAAGATGTATTTATTTATTTTAGAGAGAGAGAGAAAGAGAACACGAGTGGGAGGAGAGAGGGAGACAAACTCTCAAGCAGACTCTGCGCTGAGTGTGGAGCCCAGCTCAGGGCTCGGTCTCACGACCCTGAGATCACGACCTGAGCTGAAACCGAGAGTTGGATGCTTAACTGACTGCACCACCCAGGTGCCCCTAAAAGTTCTTTTTATTTTATATAGATTATATCATATTTGAAGTATCATTCAACTTTTCCTCTTAAGAAAATTTCTTAGATCTTGTTTGTGCACATGTGTGTTTGTGTTTCTTTTTAGTAGCCTCAGAGTAGTCCATGACAGATATTTATCATGACAGCTTTAACCATTCCAAAATTGACATTCAGTTTGTTCTCAGTTCTTTTTTACTATTCCAACAATGCTACAGTGAACATCTTTCAAAATCCAGAGCAAAGGAACAGGAGAGTTTCGACCAAACATATATGTCCTCAGCCCCAGGCATGGGCTTCCATGTAATCATTAGTGGCTATTAGCTAATGATCAGTGTTCTTAGGGCTCATGCTCTTGTAGAGATTCAAATATCAGTTGCTGAATAATTCTGAGTAGTTTATCTCACACAGTTTTCATCTGTCTCAAGGCATTGAAGAGAAAAACTAGAACTCAAGACATGCCAAGAAGAAACAGCCCAAGCAAACACTCCAGGTTCTCAATTCAGAACCCTGGAGGGTGAGAGGGGCACCTGGGTGACTCAGTCGGTTAAGCGTCTGCTGTCGGCTCAGGTCATGATCCCAGGGTCCTGCGATCAAGCCCCACATCCGGCTCCCTGTTCAGCAGGGAGCCTGCTTCTCCCTCTCCCTCAGCCTGCCGCTCCCATGCTTGTGCCCTGTCTCAAATAAATAAAATCTTAAAAAAAAAAAAAAAAAAAAAAAAGGAACCCTGGAGTGCAAAACCATAGAGTGTTGTCAAAGCAGAGGTGGTCACTAGCCTGGTTAACAAGAAGTCAACCGCGCTTCCGTGAGCTCAGCCCCATGTTGGATTAACTCACCTGCCTAAATTCTAGCTGTTTACCAAAGCGAACAGTGAACCTGCTCTGCCAAAGAATAATGTCATCCAGAGCTGTTCATACCACAACTGTTCATATCAATGCTTGATATCCCAGTGAAATTTGTATCGGATATATCAAGAAATTGAACCAAAAGAAAAAAAAATAATAGAAGCAGAACCACAGATGACCCAGACACTGGAGTTGTCAAAAGTCGTCTTTAAAAATGGTGATTAAGGTGTTCAAGAAAATAGGTAACGAGGTGGAAAATTTCACTGGAGAGCTGGAAATTTTTTTAAAGGATCCAATGGAAATGATACAACTGGAAAGTATGGTTTAATCGGAAATTTGAATAGGTAGATTAACAGCTAATTGGACAGAGCAGAAGAGAAGACTAATGGACTGGAAGCTGCTTCAGAATTAAGTATTCAGACCACAGCACAAAAAGAAAAAAAATACAGAAATAAAGATTAACGGGCAAATCAACATAATGAAAAGGTCTACATGTATTTGGAGACCCAGAAAGGGGAAAGTGAGAGAATGGGACAGACGAATCTTTGAAGAGGGGAAGGACCAAAAGTTTCCAAAAATTGATGAGACATGAAGTGAGACTGAAGAAGGAATACACATACAATGTAGAAAATACAGAGAAAACCACACCCAGGCTCATCTGCAGTAAACCAAAGACAAAGTCCTTAAGGCAGTCAAGAAAAAGGCACATTACTTTCAAAGAAGCCAACAGATAAGGCCTCAGGGAATATTATTCCCATGAGCCCTTCCATCCCCAAAGTCATGCTGGAGAACATGTGAGCTGACAGGAGAACCCCGGTGGCAGAACCAGATGGGCATTGAATGTGTCTAACTGGAAAACTGAGATTAAAACAATAGTTAAATGCGATGTGCTCTCACCACGGGACAATAACAGAACCAACGAAAACGTAAAGACTGGGGGAAAAAAGTGGAAATTAGAATGAGCTCCCTAATTTCTTCATCTGTAATAGCTGGGAATAAAAAGATATTTAATGTTGACAATTCAAATTACAGAAATGTAAGCACATCTAAAAGAACAAAGAAACCATCAGAGAGCTAATACTAATGACTAAAATCAGGTGGTGGTAGAGAAAGAACCAGGAGTAGGAATCAGAGATAAAGAAAAAATTACAAACAAAATAAAAATCAGATGAACAAATCAAATTAATGTATTTATCTCAACTCTCTGCTCCCAAGGTCAAAGAAGAGACCCAATATCCAATAGAAAAGTAGATAAAAGATATAAACTGAACTTTTTCCTTCACAAAAAGGAAATACAACCAGATCTTAAGATATTTAACCTCATTCACTAAGAGAAATGAAAAATAAAAATATTCCCAAGAGTTGCAAAGACACGTGCACTTGTCAGACCTCGAGAATGACACACTTGAGTTTCATGCATCTCACTGTAGGTGAGTTTTACTTTTCAAAAAGCTATAAGCATGTATTGAATTCTAATTAATGATATGCATGCTGAGGTGCTTCAAGTGAAATGTGCTAATACCTGCCTCTTTCTTTTAACTGCATCCAACAGAGAAGGATGGATAGATGAATAAAATGAAATAAAATAAACATAGCAAAATGTTAATAATTGTAGAGTCTGAGTGGTAAATATAAGTATGTTTACTCTGCAATTTTTTCAAATTAAGGAAAAAATATCTCTGGATAACCTTTTCCCCCAAATTGGCAAAAATTGAAAAACTCGGTTAACAGTTTTCAAGGTTGTGGGACAACAGTAGAAGCTTACGTAGGCACAGACTTCTAGAGAGAATAATTCCAATTGGAATTAAAATGGATATATCCTTAGGGATGGCAGTTGCACCTGTCAGAATATAATCTACAGATGTACTCAGACACATGCAGAACGACACATATTCCATCTTTGCATGATAAACGAAAGATGAGAAATCATCTAAATGTCTAATCAACAAAAGAATGGTAAAACATACTATGATATACCCATGCAATAAAACATAATATGGCTATGAAGAAGAAAAAGGCAACTTTCTTTGTATCAATGGGCAATACTCTCCAAGATAGATTACATGAAAAAAGTAAGATGGGGAACAGTTTGTATAACAGACTTGCATTTGGGTAAATAACAAATAGATAAACATCTGTGTACGTGCACAGAATATACCTTCAGATCAGAAGGGTCTATGAGGTGCTCGGAATGGTAGTGGTCTCCCCCTAGACGAGCTGGATTACTGTGGGTGGAGGAAGTTTTCACTGTTTTCTCCTTGTGCTTTGTGAATTTTGAACTATGTACAGGTATTATTTGTACAAAACTGTTAAATTTAGTCCTCGGGGTGCCTGGGTGGCTCGGTCGGTTAAGCGTCTGACTTCGGGTCAGGTCATGATCTCAGAGTCCTGGGATTGAGCCCCGTGTTGGGCTCCCAGCTCAGCAGGAGTCTGCTTCTCCCTCTACTTCTGACCCTCCCCCTGCTCCTGTTCTGTCTCTCAAATAAATAAAATCTTAAAAAAATTTTTAGTCCTCAAAAAAACTAAAAATAGAATAACACTGATCCAGCAATTCTGCTCCTGGATATATATATACCCAAAGGAATTGAAGCAGGGTCTCAAAGAGATATTTGCACACTCATATTCATAGCAGCATTGCCCACCATAGCCAAGGGATGGAGACAAACCAATTAGCCATCCGTGGATGCACGGATAGACCAAACACGGCAAACACATGCACTGGACTACTACTCAGCCTTAACAGGGAAGGAGCCCCTGACACCTGCTACAACATGGATGGACCCGGGGACACCAGGCCCAGTGAAGTAAGCCGCACCGAAAGACAGATGCTGTAGGATTCCACTCATGTGAGGTCCCGGGAGGAGCCAAGTTCATAGAGACAGAAAGGAGGTGGTGGGGCCAGGGCCCGGCTGTTGAATGGGGCCCGAGTTTCAGTTTTGCAGGATGGAGAGTTCTGGAGATGGATGGTGGGGATGCTTGCACCACAGTGTGAATGTCCTTAGCACGACTGAACTGGACATGTAACAATGGGGACTATGACAAATTTTATCATGCATATTTTACAAAAAAAATTAAGGCACGATAGTTTGTAAAAGAAAGAAGGAAGGAATGAAGTGTTTGGGCCCCACCCCCGTGATGGGGAGGAGCCCCCGCCGGTCCTTCCTGCCGGCCGGATGGCGCCCCCAGTGGCGTCTGGGGCTGCGCGTCTTGGGAAGTGACCGCCCTCGGTCTGTCCTCTTCTGTTTCAGCGGCCGCCGAGCTCTGAGTGAACGGCTCTCGGCTTCGCGACGTCCAGCCCCTGCCCCTCCTCCTGCAGCGGCCCGACCCCGAGTGCCAGCCCCCAGTGGCCCTTATGTCGTGGTGACCACTCCGAGCGCAGGTCCGTGCCCCCCGGGGAGGGGTGGGAAGGGAGACAAGTTCTGAGCGAGGGTACAGCGTGGTCGCCGGTGGTTACAGTATGCCAGGACCGGCCAGCCCAAAGC